TAAGGAAAATAAATTGTAGAGCTTTTTTGTACCTTGTGCATCTCATTCATCAAATTTAGTTGTAAATGATGCTGCCAAAGTAACAGTTAATTTTTTAACATTGTACAAGAATTGTACACGTCTTTTTCTGCATCCCCTTAAAGATGGGACATACTAAATCGTAATATCACTAGTTTAACATTGCAATCTGTAAGTAATACAAGATGAGAGAGCAGAATAAAAATATCAAATATTTTGATGGATTTTTTAAAACTCTTGTCAACTATATAGAACTATCATAAAAACATGCCAGTAAATTTCTATCTGTTGGGTTAAGTTATAAATCTACTCGCGATTCACATAAATGGGGCGAGGGTGCCAAATATCTAGCACGCAGGCGGCTAACAGGCTTGTCCTGAGGAAATTTTTAAGGTAAGCAGGCCAAAATATTAAGCTTCCCTTCTTTCATCATCGTGCTATCTCCTTACGAACAAGCGATTTCTACTCTTTGAGTAATCAAAAGGACTTTATAAATTTCGTATTACAGTATTTTACTTAATCGTATGAATACTTACAGTTAAACATTAAATATTTTTCAAATATTTATCAACAAAAATCGATTGTTAATTTATAAAAAGAAATAAATTGGCTAATTCGTTAGGAATTAACATGGATTACATTCCCGGCTGTTATAATATACTCGTATTGGAATCGTATCGCATTTGACCCTTCCGGTTTATGGAATCGTGATATTTTCACACATCTTAACGAAAAGTAAGTAAAAAATGTGTGTTTGTGTGTTGGCGTTTATTTCGCTTAATATTGCAGGATGGATTACAGATTAAGAAACGACCTCTAATAATATAAATATTGCGTTTAAATATTAAGATATTTTAAATTTTTTAAAAATTTATTATCAACTTTTTTTATTTGCTAAAAATTCACTACAAAAATTTCATTAGAAAAAAGCAATTTGTTTCATCTCAAACTTCTACTTTTTAAAAATTTTGACTATTTTGAAGTTATGTTAATACTTGCAATCTTTCACATATTGTTGCAAATTTCTACCTCTGCAATGATTCTTCCAGCCATACCTGTTAATTAAATAACCGTAATAAGTAACTAATTATATTTAATTTTAATACGATCGACATACGTACCAAGCATTAAATTTATGTCTTCTATAAATGATCTTGGCACACCTCATGTCGTCGGCGATATTATCGTCCAACAGACCTATAAATATTCGTAAAGTGATTTCGATTGCGTGTTTAAAATAGTGGGAATCGAACCGACATTATTCGCGTTGTCGGCCGAGTTTTATTATCTATTCCGATTTTCGATAATAAGAAGCCCAGACTTACTCGAACATTTCACATTGCAGTCGTTGTGGGGTCCGGGAGGGCTGCACCAATAACGATCGTTAATCTACGAATAAATTTTAAAATCGTAAATGCGAATACGGCCGATATACTGGCAGTATAAAAGCTGCATTGTTACCTGGAAAATTCCGTGATCTTTGCTTCCGTTTTTGTTTCTGTTCGTGGCACGGCTATTGAAATTGCTTTCGTGTCTTATCAAACACAACCCTTGAAAATGCCAGAGACATTATGCTTGTTTCGATTAAATAATGAATTAATAAAAATAACGAAGCTTTCGATTTGTACTTACAGTTTGGAATTTCGCGTCTAGGAAAGCCATTTCTGACTAAAATTTTGGCCATCTCGCATCTTTTAAAGACCTTTGCTTCTTCAATGGCGATCATCGAGAAAGCAAAAATGATGAAAAGAGATAACTGTGAAGCCATCTTCTTCTGTCCAATGCTTATTCTCTCATGATAAGCAAAAACTAAATGGCCAGTATTTATACAAAATTTTCGCGTACTTTAACCGTTTACTTTTATTGTAAAGTAGATTTCAACGTAATTCATTCCCGTTGTGCAACAGGAAATACGGAAATACCATCGGAATAGAGTTTATTCAGAACTTTATCGGACATCGGTGAATAAACTTTATTGTTTATTTTTGATTTCAGTTTTGGCTGAAATATTTAAAATACTTCCTCGATATTTTTAATAATGTAAAAACATTTTTTCATAATTAAGATATTAAGCTAACGGAAAAAGAGAGAAATTTGATGAGAGTTTGTAACAACGTGCGGACTCGTAGAGAATATAATTTTATTGCATACAGTTCTCATTGTTTATACCATTTTTGTGAATTATACATGAATATTTGTATGTATAAATTTGGATTTTTTAAAAAAAGTAATTTAGCAAATCGTACTAAATTCTTCCTGCTATCGCAGTTGAACCTTGATAGCGTGAACAATTTATGATGAACGACTTATAGTTTATATTAAGATTTCTATTTTTTAATTATGTTAAGAACATTCTATTTTACGAATTACGAATCGATATGTAAATTAATAAATGCCAAATCACGCAATTGTTTAATTGGAAGTTTCATTCATGTTGCAAATGATTTCACCCACGATACGTGTTATAGAATATAGACAGGCTTATTTAGTCTTTATATAACATTTAACTTGAAAAGTTAAATTAGAAACATAATAAATTAATCATTGTTCTGTTCGAAAAATAATTTTTTTTACTTTCAAAGTTAACGAAATAATAGAATATTTCGATTAATTTCATTTAATAAAGCTTTAATAATTTATCGATTTTAGTTCATATTATGAATAAAGCAAATTTGAATTCTGTATATTTTCAATCATAACAATAGAAAATATTTTAATTTAATTGTTTTAAACAAAATACATTTGAATAAGATATTATTAGGCTGCGATGAACGAGATATTTTTTTATTTTCTTAATTTAAATTAAAATATACAAACAGACGAATTAACAATTATCTAATCTCGAACAATAAAATCTTATCTAAGTTCAACATAAGTTGAAGTGTGTAAGATTTATTTGTTCAATAGAAAAATAATTTTATTTCATAAATTATTCTCGAAATAAATATATTTATTTCGTGTTTATCTGTTTCTTGTTTATTTAAAATTTGCATTTGCTGTCTTTATTACACAGTAGTTTTACTTTCCCGGCTGTTATTATATAAAAAAGGGAAAGTATGGCGATTGTCAAAAAATGACCTCCCTCAAGATTTTTACATTTTTGGACTAAAGGTAGCTTGAAACGTTGAGGAATGCAAACAAATTCAAGGGTAATTTCTGTATGTACGGGTGTTAGTTTGTGTGTGGGGGCACGATTTTTTCATCCTGTTTGAAGCTTAATAACTCCTGTGCTTTTTGTCGAAAATTTCTGAAATTTTGCCGGAAGGATTGTTTATTAGGGGGACTGATGCTATTAAATTTTGGTGATTAATTAAAGGTCGAGGAGGTGGGGGATAGAGAAGGGAGTCAGGTGTTATATCTCGAGTAGGGTCGGACTTAATAAAGATTTTACTCGTTATTGAGCCGTAATTTAAAAAAAAAAATTGTAGACCTTTAAATTTCCACTGTCGTCCGACTGTCCATCTGTCTTTCCTTAATCTCGAGAACAGTCGACAAATAAAAGAGGAGACCAGATACGGAAAAATTCGGGGCAGGAGGTCCCGATTAACTGTATATAAACTTCCAATGCAAACCGGAAGTTACGTTATTTTAATTCAAAAATTTTCCTCCGAAAGGTGTTAGATAGATTACTGGCAAGACTATTACTAACGGAAAAATATGATGTACAGGGGCAAGACACTATTAATTTGAGGCGGAAAGCATATATTTCAAATTAAAAAAATATTAAAAATATGATTAATTAGCATTTACAATTTTTTTTATAAAACTCGTCTCCACCCTCAAAATTAGTCTTTTTGCCATTTTATAATAATTAATAATATAAAATGTTTTAAAATAAAATTTCAACGTTCTGTACATTTTTAAGATATTATAAAAATTGGGATTGTTTTGAACATGAATCGATAAACTTGAAAGTGAAAGTGTAACGGTTCATGTTTGTATTCAACGTCATCTCTTCCTAAAAACGTTGCTCGAGATTAAATTAGTACAAAAGTCCAAATGTATTACACATTATTACGAAATTTATTAATATTTTATTTTATTTTTTTTCTCCTTCAACTCACCTCATCATCCTTTCTACAAACCCGATAAACATAACCAAATTTAGAACTTAATTACACGCGTATGTATAGATACAATGTAGTGATATATGTCATGGGGTGAGCCAACCCGACATCCCCACCCATCTCGAAAATCATAGACGATATAAGCGGTTTTAAAAATTATTATAGAATTACTTATAAGCAAATATTATTTTTAAAATGTTTCTACTAAGTTTATATATAAGCTATGGATGTTTGTGTGTGGGGCACGATTTTTTCACCCTCTTTGAAGCTTAATAATTCCTATGTCTTTTGTCAAAAATGTATGAAATTTTGCAACGGGGTTTGTTTATTAGGGAGATTGATTCTATTAAATTTTGATGATTAAAGGTATAGGGGGTGGGAGGATAGAGTCGTGTGTATCTCTAGTAGGGTAAGACGTAATATAGATTTTATTCTTTATTAGCATTTATAATGTTTTATAAAACCCATTCATACCCTTAAAATTAAGCTTTTTGCCATTTTATAATAGTTAAAAATATTATACATATATTATAGTCTATTATTATATTGTATTTTAAATTTACAGGCTTATCAGACATATGAGATTCTATTATGCTATTTAGACCGTTTTTATTAACATATCCCAAATAGGTCCAGCTGCATATGCTTCGGGTAACCAATATACTAAACACTATCCCCTGATGCTTCCCTACACAATCTCCTATGACACGTGATTTATGAAAAATCCTTTATATTAAAAATATATTATTTATAAATTCGTAATTGATTCGAACAGTAAGAGTCAAAAATGGTTCTTAGTGTTTAAAATAACTTCGCATCCAATAGAAAATAATTAAGAAGAGACAAAGAAGGAAACAAATATTAGCATACGATCTGTTTATATTGTTATAAGTCATAATATGATTGATTAAACTAGATATTTTAATACACGGCGCGTGTAGATACTCGAATTTTATTCGAATTGTTGGAAATCGAAAAGAAATTTATGTTCATTATGAGCTTTAATTATATGCAATTAAAAGTTCTGTATACAGTAATGTTAGATAGAAACACTCGAAAACAAAAATTGAGGCGACTTTAATTAGCTTTACGTACCGAAGTGGGAGAGATTCAAAATAAACGTCACACCGCCCCGTGACTTTGATCCTGAGGTGTGTAAATAAGGACAATATATGAAGAAAGCGTATTGTTTTTATGTTTCTTCTATTATAAAGAATTTTGAATTTTATATATTTTACTATGTCGACATTCAAAGTAGTTCTCAATAAAAAGAATTAACTAAAATGTGCTAAATATGAAAAGGATATAATAATATTATTTTTTACTTATATTTTGTACTTATACAAAATAATATTTATTTTGTATTTATATAATATTATCTCGAGACTAATGATCTTTATCACGTCTCTTTAATACGAATCGTTAAAGAAAGGTGATAAAGGTCACTGGTCTCGAGATTGTACAAAATAATCTTTTTGCACAGTAGTTTCCGAATTATTTACGACACCATCTTTATGTAAAACAACTAAAATGGCTTATTATCTTATTTTCTAAATAAAATGTTTTGAAATAAGATAAATTATATTATCAAAATACAGGATGATTCTATCGCTTAGTAGACCAAACATTACTCAATAAATTTTTTATTGCTTTATGATTTCGTATGATTTAAATGCATTTATCTTCTTGTAAAAGAAGATTTACCTAAAGAGAATGCCGAAAATGGCATCCTCCAGCATTCACGCGAATTATTGAGGAACGTTTGGATTTCTTAGCCAGAGAACCACCCTGTATAATTGAACGTTTCCTTAGAATATTTTAAGCATTTAAGCAAAAATATGTTTAATAACTAAATATATAATAATATTTAATTAAAACTAATTATAAAAATGATATTTAAATATTATATAACGTTAGACATCGATACAAAAGAATTAACTTTGTTATTGTTCGAATTTCTCTTTATTATTGAAGTGTCGTTGACACTTTTCGGAAAAACCAGATAGAAAATATCAAAGATTACGAAAGATCGGAGGTTTTTGCATTAATCATAATTAAATACTGTGAAACGTTAATTTTATTTCCTAAATTCCGTGGAAAAGAAATTCGTATTACGTATTCCTAATTAAATATTTTAAAACAAACATTGCGTTTAATAATAAATAATTTTTAATTTAAAATATTCGTTTCTCGATAACCGATAACATCATCGTTTTAATAACGGATTCTAATGATATTTTTAAATATTTAAAACCCGTAAATTATTATACAGCTGTAATATTTATAATGCGGTATGTATTTTTTTTCAATAAGATATTGATATTAAACAGAGTTTGATACGATACATTAGCATTTTACAATTTAGGCCAAACATTGATAAATTAGCGATACAATTAATTATTCTTTAATTATTTGATATGTATTTCGTAAATGGTCATATTATAAACGATTCAATCGCTAACTGGTAAAATATGATGTACAGGAGCAAGCCACTACTAATTTCAAATGGGGAGCATATATTTTAAATTAAATAAACTAAAAATTGCAGCCCGGCATGTGACCATGTCACAATAAATAATTGCTCGTATATTGAACACTTCACATTGACGATGTTTTGATGCATCTCGAGTAGTAATTGCGTGGTATATAGGTTATTTTGTCGTACCTCAAGAAGTATGACAGATTCTCAACATATACCGTACTTAACTAAAATTATATGTAAATTATACATACTATCATTTTACTT